TTTCTGAAGAAGGGTCTAGACCTGAAACGTCAGCTTTCCTGCTCCTCGGATGCTGCCTTGCCTGCTGTGTTCATCCAGCTCTACACCTTGTTATCTCATGAAACATAGGTGGGCGTTTTTCTTAAAAATTCACTCATGGCACTTGGGCATCACCCAGCATTTATTGCCCATCCCCACTTGCCCTTGAGAAGATGGTGGTGGGCTGCCCTCTTGAACTGCTGCAGTCCATGTGCTATATGGTGACATATAATTCTTTTAGGGAGGGAATTCCAGGATTTTGACCCAGCGACAGTGAGGGAATAGCGATGTATTTCCAAGTCAGGATGGTAAGTGGCTTGGAGGGGAATTTGCAGGTAGTGGTATTCCCATGTATCCTTCTAGATGGAAGTGGTCGTGGGTTTGGAAGGTGCTGTCGAAGGATCTTTGGTGAATTTCTGCAGTACATCTTGTAGATGGTACACACTGCTGCTACTGAGCGTCAGTGGTAGAGGAAGTGGATGTTTGTGGATGTGGTGCCAAACAAGCAGGTTGTTTTGTCCTGTTTGGTGTCAAGCTTCTCGAGTGTTGATGGGGCTGCACTCATCCAGGCAAGGGAATACTCAATCACACTCCTGAATTATGCCTTGTAAATGACGGACAGACTTTGGGGAGTCAGGAGGTGAGCTACTCGCTGCAGTATTTCTCGCCTCTGGCCTGCTCTTGTAGCTACTGTGTTTATGTGGCTGGTCCAGTTCAGTTTCTGGTCAATAGCAATCCCCAGGATGTTGATTGTAGAGGGTTCAGTGATGGAAATACCATTGAATATCAAGGGGTGGCAATTAGATTGTAGTTTATTGGAGGTGGTCTTTGCCTGTCATTTGTGTGGTGCAAATGTTACTTGCCACTTGTCAGTCCATGCACCGAACCATTTCAGAGGACAGTTACGCATCAAACATGCTGGTGTGAGACTGAAGTCACATAAAGGCTGAGGTGAGAATGCAGGAGGAATGCAAATCACACAAAGACTGGCTGGGTGGTTGACAGTGAAGGGGATGATGCTGGGTTACAGGAAAATATAAATGGATTGGTTAGATGGGCAGATGAATGGCAAGACACCAAGAAGCTAGGAGAAACAGAGGGATCTTGAGAGTGCTTGTCCACAGATCCCTGAAGCTGGCAGGTCAGTTTTATAGGAAAGTTAAGAAAGCATAAGGGACACTTGCCTTTATCAGTCATGACATAGATTAGAACAGCAGGGAGATTATGTTGGAGCTGTATAGAACTTTGGTTAAGCCAGTCAATAAGAAAATGGTGTTACTTTAAAGTGAAACACAGGAGGGGATTTGAAGAAAAGTTTTTTCACCCTATGGTGGGATACACAGCCTAGAAGGGTAGTCGAGTCTGGAAACCTCACAACCTTTAAGAAGTACTCGGACAAGCACCTGAAGTGTCATGACATTCAAGGCTATGGCTTAGTGCAAAATGAGACGTGTGTAAGTAGTGTATTTTTGATGGTACAGACTTGATGAGCCGAACAGCCTTTTCTGCACCGTATGAGTCTATGGAAGGCCAGAGTGGGATAAGGATATTTGGTACTCTTCCAAAAAAAAAAAAGGGCTTTTGACAACAATCTGACAGCATCATGGTCACTTTAACTAAAATCTTTGTATTTTCAGATTTTAAAAAATACTCAAATTCAAATCCTCCAATCTGAATTCAGACGTTAGAGTTTGTTTTAGCATCAACTAAGCCAAGAGGTATACAGCTGCAAACAGATCAGTCATTCAATGGCAGAGCAAGCCTGATGACCTGAAAAGCCTACTCCTGCTCCTATATCTTACTATGTTAAGAGGTCACAGAAAAATTCTCTGGATCATCACTGCAGTGACATCAAGCAAACCATGGACATTCTCTTTGCTTTTTGCAGGTGATATCTCAACTTCTGAAATAATAGCCTCCAAGATACAACTATTATACTTTGATTACCTTTGCAGGGAAGCTTACCTGACTGAGTCTTCTGGACTTCAGAACCTATGAATAGAGAGTAGCATTATTAGTTGTTCATGTGAAATTTCATGCATGTTGCAGACTTCTCATTTTTAAAAACGAGTTAAAACATCTTGCTACTGATATACTACATACACAACAGTCATGCTGCTCAAAAGGACAAAGTAAACATGATGCAACCTTGATCAATAAATTCCATGTAGACAGCATGACTAAGTGACAGGCTCAGCTCTGCTTATTAAACATTACACCATCTTAGGGTAGCAGCATACAAGTAAAGTAGTGTGCATGCTTTGAAATACAAATAAAGTGCTGGAGAAATTCAGAAGGTCTGACAATATTTGTGGAGAGAGAAAGAGAGTTCATACTTCAAGTGCAATTTGAGTCTCCTACATAATTACTCCAAAAAAGTTATTGGACTTGAAAGGCAACTACTTTGGGAACAGAGTGCCACAGAACAGCAGGATCCCAGGTTTGGTCCCCAGCCTGCTCAAGATTAATTAATCTCATCCTCATTGCGTCATTACAACAGCTCTTCATGCCCAGGTCACCATCCACTGGACCAGCCCCTCCTCTATGAATGGTAGGAATGGACTCAATAATAAAGTCCACTACTATTCCTTATCATTCCCAAATTAAGGATGGACAGACATTATGGTGGATCATTAACTCAGCAAGCGACATCCAGTATTGGATGGGGTAAAAAAGAAATACTCCAGCAAGGGATTCAGCTCCAAATATTTGTTCTCTCATTTCAGCAACACAATACATCCAATCAAGAGTAACTTGTTCTTGCAGCTTTCCAAAGTTAAAAATACCCCCAAAGAGGTTTGCATACTGTTTTCCTGCTGTCCAGCCACTGCCTCCCATTCCCCATGCAATGCTGCAGTTTGGTTGCTGCATTACATCATAGCAAATCTTATAACCAGTCCAGCCCCTGCCATTTCACTGAAAGAGCATCCTAATTTGATCTGATCCCTACATCACAAATCATGAGGGGTATAGATAAGGTTGAGAAGTTCAAAACTAGAGGGCATAATTTTAAGGTGAGGGGGGGAACATTTAAAGGGGACCTGAAGGGCAACTTTTTCTGCACAGAGGGTGGTTCATATGTGGAACGAACTACAAGATATGGTAGATGCAGGTACAGTTACAACATGTAAGAGACATTTAGATAGGTACATGAACAGGAAAGAACAACGAAGGGTATGGGCCAAATGCAGGCAAATAGGACTAGTTAAGTTTGGGAAACTTAGTCAACATGGACGAGTTGGACCAATGTTTCCATGCTGTATGACTCTAATAATACCAATTAAAAAAGGTAAACACACTAGCAGAAACAGCGGCAGATCTAATCTTTTTAGATTTGTATTTCTCTTTGTGAGGAGTATGGGGAACAACTGCTTACAGGTGGGAAAGTTTCCACTGGACACCAAGTAGGAATTTTGGCTGGATCAGCTAATTAAGAACACACACCATGTTTAAGTGAAGCTCGTTTAGTTCAGCACTGACTAATGCAGCAAGTGCCTTCAGCTCCCTGTCTTCAATGCTGTCTTTACCATTCAAGCCAGGGGCGGGCCACCAGGTTTTTATTGGGTAAATTAAATTTAATTGGGAATAAAAGGTACAAAAAGAGAAATAAGACTTCAAGAACAAAACAAAAACAAAAATCATGGACACATTTACTCAAGACCTTCTATAATTTTGTGCAGTAATTTTTTCTATACTTACATTCTAAAAAGTTGCAGATAAATTGGAATCTCTCCTCAATGGTTTTCTCTTCAATTAACTTCAGTGGATTTTCCTTTCCACTTCTGTAATAAGAAAATATGTTAGTTGTTATAATATTTGATTTCAAATATATGATGATTCTGTCTGCCCAGATATTTCTAGATAAAGAGAGCATAAACAGTGCTCATCACCAGGACTTGTCCAGCAAGCTCATCCCGTAAATGAGACAAATTGAATTGATTGGAAGGTCCTACTTGAATGAGAGACACTGTCACTTTCAGGGTCTCCAATCACAGGCTGTTTGTCACCCGCATTTGCTGCTGTTAAGTACAGTGAACACAGGAGAAAACCAGTCTCTGATCAGAAAAGCAGCCGGGAAAGTAAATGACCTCAGTGGGCAAGTCATTGGGACTGAGGTCCAGGCCTCACTGGGTGAGGTGTGCGTGCGTGTGCGCGTGGCAATGATGGGGTTGCAAAGTTGGAAAGCAGCATCTATCAGTGCAACAATAAAGAGTGTTGGTCTAAGTCTGTGCTTAGCTGTCAGGACAGGGATTTGAACCCATACCATTCTGACTGAGGCACAAGTGCAGCCTGCAGAGTCAGAGCTAATACTGACATTATCGGTCTATTCATAATGCAGTTCTTCAGACCCTTTTGGTACACTGCCCAACTCATTGTTTTTCAATGATGCTCCTTTGATATGCCTTGGAACATTTTACCATGTTTACTAAACGTGCTATGGAAACATAAATTGAGGTTGCACCTTCCTCAATACAGCACAAATTTGGCTTAGATCATTCAATATCATCTCCTACTTGAACATACAAAAGTAAAAACTCTTCAACTATCCCTTTAAGTTCCCCAAAAGGTACTCACATTCTGCACACAAGACTGATGAAGATGACACCATCTTGGAGGTTTGACAGATTTTCAACTTCTTTTGACAATTTAAGACTGTTAATCTGCGGAGTGGAAGAAAGCAAAAAAGTTAAACAACCAAATTATAATGGGGCATGTGTCTGCACATTAGTTGATTGGAGGTCATCAGGTTCACTCACAACTTGAACACAGGTAGAAGACGGCATGGTGGCTCAGTGGTTAGCACTGCTGCCTCACAACGCTAGGGACCTGGATTCAATTCTACCCTCGGGCAACTGTCTCTGTTGAGTTTGCACATTCTCCCCGTGTCTGCGTGGGTTTCCTTCAGGTACTCCAGTTTCCTCCCACAGTCCAAAGATCTGCAGGCTAGGTGGATTGGCCATGCTAAGTTGCCCATAGTGTTCAGAGATGAGTAGATTAGGAGGGGTATAGGGGGATGGGTTCTGGGTGGGTGCTCTGAGGGTCAGTGCGGACTTGTTGGGCCAAAGGGCCTTTTTCCACACTGTAGGGATTCTATGATCTAGTCAAGACAAAACAAAAAGCTTCCATCTCTTTCACCCTATAAAGCTGAAAATACTTTCTACATAAATTTCCTTTTCACTATTGGCCCTGGGGTCTTTTGCAAAGACAAGTGATTTTTCATTATGAATATCTGTATTTGCATAAATTCAAGAGCAGCTGGTTTACAAATACAGATATAATACTGGAAAGGAAATGTATTCCCAATAATTAGTACCTAAAGTCAACAGGTATCTCTCAACTTGCAAATACCTTGGCCAAACAACCATTAAACCCTAACAGTCAGGAGTGTTGCTCAATTAACACTGAAGGCGTGTTGCCTTAAATAATGGGCGGGTTCTCACTGACAGCAAAGACGACTGCACAGAACAACATTAATGTATTTTCTCCCACAAAAAAAAAGCAGATGCCTGTTTAATTAACTATTACAAATCTGAGATTTTTAAAGATCTTTTCCTAGCCATGGGTATGAAGGGACTTAGAACCAAAAATCAGTAAGAGGATTTAGGATACAGATCATGATCACGAATCATCAAATTCATGATTTGATGAATGTTGAAACAGGCTAAAGGAGATGAATAACTCAATGACCACCTCCTCAACCTTTATCAATCAGCCCCATCAGCGGCACAGGAGGTCCACCATTAAGTGTTTAATGTTCTAAATGGCTCCCTGGGCTGAACTTAAAATTATTTTTGAAATAAAAGCTCTTCTTTTGAAGCATCCAGAATTGGACATAATGCTCCAGACTGGAATCTAACCAGCAATGAGGCTGGACTTTGTGACCATAGATTGCACTCACACTCCACTTTTACTGCAACTGTTAAGACTATGCTGAGCTCGATCCAGTGGGATGTTCAAGGAACTTGGGATATTAACAGACTCATTTTCAATGCAACAAAATCAGTACAGTTAGGTTTGAGGTAAAACTCGCCAGTAGTTTAAAAAAAAAATCCACACATAATCCCTTTCAGGTGAGTCTAATAGCAGGTTGAGGAATGATGGGATCTGTTAAAATCCACAAATTATCCTAAGTAGAGACACAAGTCAATAAAGCCAGAAGAGAAAGAAAACAAACAAAAGCACTCCGGGCATACGTGTAGAGAGACTGAATTGAAATGCAGAAATGTTAGGCTAAGCCCGTGTAGAACATTACTTAACCTGGGGGTGCCTCCTGTGGTACAGTGGCAGTGTCCCTACCCCTGGACCACAAGGCTCAGGGTCAAGTCCCACCTGCTGCAGAGATGTGCAGAAACAGAACATTACTTAAATCACTATAATGAAATCCTTCTTTTGTTGTATCAATTTCTGCTAAAGAAACCAACAATCTAAGGAACATAGTAACATTCAGGGAACAGATGGTTCCAAGATGTTGCCACATTTGATAAATTGAAAAGATTAGTTAAATTAGATAATGCCTTGGAATAGTAGTGAGGCTTATTGCAGGGTTTTCAATAGGTCACTGAATCCAATTTAGGGTCAATGAAGAAAATTCCCTGGTCAGTCAATGGAAGAAACAGGCTCAATGAAGAACTGTTAGGCTGCATGGCTGAGGAGGCGACTGAGAGCCGCTGGCTTTCTTTAATCAGAACCTACAAAGTAGCAATTCAGGTATCAATAACTGGGAACAATGTAGTTAGGGGCTCAGTGAGAAGTCAAGAGTAGTTGGGTAGCAGTCAGATCTCAGGAAGGAGTTAATAAATACATTTAAATGTTGGAATTGGGAGTTCAGGAAAAGTCCTTAGAGTTGTGTGCCATCAGAAAAATCTGCATGGCCATTAATTGCTCAGTTCGGCCGTGAGTATGAGGCTGAACAAAACTCAGTATTTGCATAAATGAGCAAGATTAAAGCTCAGGAAACAAAACCAGGGGCATTTTTGATTTGTTGAAGCTTGCTTTCTGTGAAAGCTTGAGCTGTGCTCTAAGAGCAGTTTCCAGAATCCAGGGGAATGTAGATCCAGGGTATGAACCACCAGAATATGTGCAGTCATGGAGACAGTCTATGCTGGAGCGGCTGAAAACAGCTGCAATGATGTCATCAAAAGTGAACAACTGGAATTCCTTGTTAAGCTTTAATGAGATTTGCCGACCTTTACCTTTGCTCTTTTGAAAAGGGGAAAAATGAAGCATAAAGCTTGACCCTGATAGAGTTTTCCACATTATGACAGAAGAGAGAGAAAAGAGCATTTAACTTGTGGACGAATGCAGAAGTAAGAGCTATCAGTATATGATAGTCACCAACAAATCCAAATGGGAATTCCTGACAAACTTCCCAGAGGCGAATGACAATGCAGAATTGTTAACACAGGGAGTTGCTTAGTTGAATAATATAAGTATGTTTAAAAAGAAGCTGGATAAACACTTGAGAAAGAAAGGAAGAGAAGGATATAGTGAAAGGCTTCAATGAAGGAGAATTTGTGTGGACTATAAACAAGATAGATCTGAGGTGAATGGACTGTTCATTTGCTGCAATTTCGAGACAATACTGCAGAGGCTCCAACTCTACAGTGCTCCAATCAAGCAAATTCTTGAATATTTTGAATCTTGGATACACAAAGCAAAAATCTGATTCTTCAAAGCAATGCAGCAAACTGCCACAAGCACCTAGTGTTGAAAAGGATTAAGTGTAGTAGGAATTTCGGCAGCATGATGGCTCATTTGTTAGCACTGCTGCCCCACAGCGCCAGAGACCCAGGTTCGATTCCATCCACAGGTGCCTATGTGTAGATTTTGCACATTCTCCCAGTGTCTGCGTGGGTTTCCTCTGGGTGGTCCAGTTTCTTCCCACAATTCAAAGATGTGCAGGTTAGGTGGACTGGCCAGACTAAATTGCCCAGAGTGTCAAGGGATGGGCAGGCTAGGTGGATTAGCCATGGGAAATGCAGGGTTACAGGGATTTTTTTGCAGGGGGGTAATGGTCTTCAGAGGATTAGTGTTGACTCAATGGGTTGAATGGCATGCTTCCAGTATGGAAGCATTCTATGATTCTATCAATTCTTCAAAGAAACAAAAAGCAATGGACATTTGAAATCTTTGGTAAGAAACACCCGTGATAGACAGCAGAGGAACTGCATATTATTTCTCAACAGGCAAATTGAGCGAGGCTGGATGATCTCTTAACCAATATAAAAATTTTCAGAGGATAGGCTGGACTGAAGGGCTGCAGCAAACACCAAGGAAGAATACAACAAGATACATGAAACTTTTCACCAGGCAGTTAAACGGCAAATTAACTTTAAATATGAAAAAAAGCATTTTGATTGAAAAAGAAACATCACCTACACATCAGAAAATATGAAACTGAATGGGAGTAGAAGCACAAAAGGAATCTAGGGATACATGTGAAAAGTTGTGCCACAATTCAACGTGGAAATTAAAAGCGAGAGACACATTAACTTTTAGTGGCATAAAATTCACTGTGGATCAGTGGTTATAGAACATAGAACAGCACAGTACAGGCCCTTTGGCCCATGATGTTGTGCCAAACTTTTACCCAAATCCCTAGGTCTATCTAACTTCCAACCCTACCTTATACTATCATCCATATGCCTATCTAATATCAGCTTAAATGCCCCTAATGAGGCCAACTCCACTACCCTCTCCGGCAATGCATTCCACGCCCCTACCACTCTCCGAGTAAAGAACCTACCTCTGACATCTCCCCTGTATCTACCTCCACTCACTTTAAAACTATGCCCCCTCATAATAGCTACCTCCACCCTAGGAAAAAGTCTCTGGCTGTCTACGCTATCCATACCTCTGATCATTTTGTACACCTCTATCAAGTCACCTCTCATCCTTCGTCGTTCAAGAGAAACGCCCTAGTTCTCTCAACCTTTCCTTGTAAAACTTTCCCTCCATTCCAGGCAACATCCTGGTAAAGAGATAGTAGGAACTGCAGATGCTGGAGAATCCGAGACAACAAAGTGCAGGGCTGGATGAACACAGCAGGCCAAGCAGCATCATAGGAGCAGAAAGGCTGACGTTTCAGGCCTAGACCCTTCATCAG